GGGGGAGGTGGGGAGGGTGTTGTTCGTTGCGCGATGTATTGGATTTTGCAGATAATGCAGGATGTTGGTCGAACCGACTGAGCCTGATTATGCGGATCGGGATAGTAACCATTTGCCTTGTATAGTCATCTCAGAACAATGCATTAATTAATACGGAACAGCGTAGACACGGGGTGTGAAATCGCACTCGAATAAGGAATGAATTGAACTCATTGATTCAGAGCATTGCATTCTAAATTTGTACAGAGTAAATCGAATAAATATTTTCTATAGTGTTAGTTTGTGAAAAGCGAAAGAAGACAAATGTCGGGAGATGTTAACTGTCGTTTAATCTTCTCAGTCGCTGACTAAAAACAAACAAGCGCACATGTAATACATGGGATTAATCAATTATGGTGAACAAACGTGTACACGCCTAGATTGATTATTAAATTTGGAAGTTGAAAGTCAACTCGCGTTATTTGGATTGCTTGTATCAAAAACGTCCGTGCGCACAAAGTCGGATGATGTAATCGAATAAGCGGTGCTTCACTAATTGTCAAATCTTTAGAATTTAGATTACGTATTAGTTGTTTGAAAGACGAACTCGGGTCAACTGGGTGTCATGTTGTCATGATGTTTTGCAGTAGATGACCCTAGACCTCTTATAATCACTTGGCCATCATTTATCATTTGCGTCATCGACTTCACCAAGCACTCTGGAATATGCTCGGCCATCTGTTATGACAGCTGACGGTTTGTCCTGCTTATGTATGCGTCACCGCAACTGCAGGTGAACCGGTATACAGTGTATGAGACGGAACTGGTTTGCCAACCATGTTTACGTTTGTCCAAATCGATTTCACGAAGGGTAGCAGTGAGTCTGAGTTGAGCAGGGGTGAATGTACGGTCTAGAGCTGACCTCAAATTCTGGCACACATCATTGTAAATGTGGTCACCTTTGAACGCAAGCTTGATGTAGATGGCCTTTTTATTCACCTTTTGGGATGGGTTACCTCTTCAGTATGGTCTACTGTGAATATCTATAAACCTTTCTGAGTAACCATTGTTTAGCAATGTTCTCCTTAGGAAATCCTCATCTTCCTTCAGCGTAACTGCAGAACATATGTCTCTCACCCGATGAAATACGGTTCTCACAAGCCCATATTTGTAAGTCATGGGGGAAAAGCTAGAAAAGTGCAGTTCCACGTTGCTTTTCGGTAGACTGAGCGTTGTCGTGTCCCATTCGTCCGCCTTGTAACTTTATGTCAGGAAAAGCTGAAGTGCTATTAGTTTCCGTTCCATGAGATACAGATAGATGTGTATGGACTGAGTTGAACTGTTGTAAAAGTGTATTAAAATTTGCATCAACTGTAAGGATGAAAATGTCGTCTACGTAACGTTTGTACAAGGTGAACTTGGAAATATTATCACTTAGCTTGGACCTTCAACGTCTTCCGAATTTTGTCACATGGAATAAATATCGTATGCGGAAGAACCACTGCATCAAGCTGATTCGTGAAGATGAACTGAAATACCAAGAGACACTAGCACAGAGTTTCATTTCTAATCCTAAGCTGTTGTATAAGCACGTTAACTCAATTCGGAAAATAAAGTTTGGCAGATCGGGCACTAAGCAGTGCTGGAAGAGTTGTGTGCGTTCTACCCGTGAGTTCTCGAGTTCGACCCCCAGTTGGGTCGATGAATTCGCACTTCTATTGAGACACAACCAAGTCAAAACAGTTGTCCAGTGATTCCCATCTTTTCAGCTCACGCCTCATCTACACAATGAATTCGTCATAAAAACAAATCAAATCCTACATTACTCTCATAAAACTCCTTTTGTCAGTGAGTTACATCATCCTGAATCCATGGTAAGTCTGCAATTAGGAGCGAGGATTTTCAATGCTGTTGCTACGACCATGATCATTCCAAACCCTATTACTAAGAGTGTCCAAAGATGAGGCAGTAGTCTTGGACTTGCACAATTGGACGAACACTATCGCTGCATAGATCAGTCAGTGCACCTTTCGTGCGCACAATAAGATGCTCGCAGACAGCCCCGATTTTCCGCGTGAAGTATAAAAGGTTCTCTTACTAGTTAAAAGACAGCCATATGCCAAAGGAAAGTCAATCTCCATTACCCTCGAATGCCGTGTCTGATATTGTTCCCGGTTGCCTGGGCCTCATAATGCTCTCTCTCTCAGTGCTTATGTGTTGTGAACTGTTGTAAGCTGTTTTCCGATTCTTCGTTTATTCTGTCGATTTCAGAATTTACCAATCGCAACACGATCACGCAGATTCGAAGGTGAACAATCGTCTTAAACGTGTGTAGGAATTATTTAGCTTCCAGAATAAATCCATTAGAACACAAGCCCAAAGGCGAACAATTGTTTTTGAATGATTCATAATTTTGTCTGGACAAATCATAGAGGAGTTTGCTGTTTGTGGGGTTATGTTTTCACGCAAGGTTGAAAGGTCATTCGGTATGGAGAGAGGTGTCGGTGGATCCCTATGTGTCTGCGTTTGTATGACATCGATCTTGATTGGAGTGCTATTGTTATTTTTGTTGGGGGTGTTGATGATGTTGGTGATCAGTTTAGAGCCAGGGTGAGTGGACCAGTCACTTTTGTGCACCTAGTTCTGGTGCGAACAAGCGAGTCTCTTTCGGCGGTGGCTAGTGTGTTCAATCGCAGCTTTTCAGGGTTTAGAAAACTGGGAACCAGATATGGCCCTACATTGGACAACTATTTCGATCAAATTCAAGGCTGAAGTAAACGGGGCGCGCGAGAATGCTCAATCACGCCTCGTGGGTGGGGGAATAGGATATCAAGTGGTCACAGTAATCACTCCAGTCAGCAAATATAAAAAAATCCGAACGTAATACGACCACGGTCTGTCTGATGAGTCAAAAGGAGAAGTTGAATTAAAATCAAAAATGAACGTGAGACTGTAAGCTACTGGCAGGTCAATGGTGTGGCTGTGTTCTGCTGTTGGGGAGGTGATCAACTGTGATAGGCTGTTTTCAGTATCAACCGCCTATCCATCGTGACATATGGTTGCCGTTTCTGCGAATTGTGCCAACTGAAATGTGGGCTTCGTGCTTGCAGAAATTATTACATTACAATACAATACAACCAGGAGCAGTTCTGAACTTCTTTTTTGGCTTACAAAAGAATTTCAATGCACAGTGAGAGAAGGTGCAACATGGACAAATCAGAACCCTTGCGAGGAATGCGAATGTAATGTTTCGAAGTTACGTTTCAAAAATATAGCTATAACAGCAGCAGCCATTCGGGGTCTCTAACGTCATAATCCCATCAGTGATCCTACGTCAATATAACCGCGCTGAACAGAATAAATGAATGAGGTGCACCGCGAGGGCACAGGAGATGAAAGATTTCATTAAAAGGAGAACTCTGTCTCGGGAAGGAAGAGAATGAGTGGAGGCAAATTTGTGGTTGTGAAGTCCGGAATCAATGTTGTAGTTGTCATGGTGAGTATCAACGTAAGCAATCTGCGAGCGGGTGTGTGTGTGTGTGTGGAAGTCCATGTTCAGTTGCTCTTCAGAAACCGGTAGTCTCCATAAGAAATGTATAGTATTACACCGGGATACAAAGGAAGTTATATATTCTCCTCGAAAGTCTACTTCTTAACCATGAACCTCGAATTTTAAATCAGTATATCTGAACCTTTTGTGTGTACTTATCATGAGCGTATACTGCAAAACCAATGTAATCTCATTAACGAGTGTATCTCCCTTCTCTGATCCGTTTTGGTTGTATGTTCGATTTCCTAATCTGGCAGAAACAACGGGTAAACCGTTGAACAACTTGTCCTATAAACTCATTCATGCCACTCGTCTCGGTCGGAATCTTCGGCGTTGTGTGTAAAAGATTCTTCGTGCGTGTGTCATTGTTTTTTCCCTTCATTATGATGCTAAAGTAATGATGACTCGTATAACGACTCGGATGATGATGATGATGATGATGATGATGATGATGATGATGATGATGATGATGATGATGATGATGATGATGATGATGATGATGATGATGATGATGATGATGATGATGATGATGATGATTCGAATGATGATGATGATGATGATGACGATGATGACGATGATGATGATGATGATGATGATGACAATGATGTTGACGATGATGATGTTTCGAATGATGATGATGATGATAATGCTGATGATGCGGATGATGATGATGATGATGATGATGATGATGATTTGGATGATGATGATTCAGATGATGATAGATGATGATGAGGATTCGGATGATGACTCGGATGATGATGATGATGATGATGATGATGATCGGATGATGATCATGATGATGATGATAATGATTCGGAAGATGACGATGATGTTGATGATGGCATGATGATGATGAAGATGATGATGATGACGATGATAATGGCAATGATGATGGAGGAGGAGGAGGAGGAGTAGGAGGAGGAGGAGGAGGATGATGATGATGATGATGATTTGAATGATGATCATGATTCGGATGATGATGATGATGACGACGATGATGATGATGATGATTCGTAATGATAATGATGATGATGATGATGATGATGATGCTGATGATGATGATCCGGATTAAATTATGATGAAGATGATGATGATGATGATGATGATGATGATGATGATGATGATGATGATGATGGGATTATGATGATGATGATGATGATGATGATGATGATGATGATGATGATGATGATGATGACGATTATGATGATGATGATGATGATGATGATGATGATGATGATGATGATGATGATGATGATCGATGATGATGATGATGATGATGATGATGATGATGATGATGATGATGATGATGATGAAGAACCATTCTATGTGAATTCCAATCACTTCGGTAATTTCTGTTGATACCTATATTCGTAAATTTCTCTGTGCTTCAACTGATAAACTATAAGTATGAACAATTCAACAGTTATTAATCCATAGGTGTTCCGGATCATTTCGAAAAACAAACCTCATTCTATTGTTATGAACAATGCATATTGTAGATCAATTTCCCGGCACGTGAATTTCACAAAATACTTCACATAGGCCTCTATGGAAAGGGTGAAATCTGGGACACCGAGTTTGGTCTCAGCTTCTTATTCGGTACATATCTGAAACGTTTGAGTGAATTCGTTACAATTCAACCCTTCCACCACTTGGATCTGTTTATTACTCATGAGTTACATGTTGCCAACCAAATTTCACGTAATTCCCTTGTGTAATTTCGTAGATTGTGTAACAGTGAATCGTTACATTTTGCATTTGGTCCGTTTTCTTCTAATTAAAACTCTCCTGTTCAGATTACTCTCAGACTTTGGGCTTCTTGATTTTGTCACATTGGTCTGTTTTGCCACAAACCTCGCGACTGGCGGGAAGGATTAAATGAACAAGAATTTGTGCATAATTATTGGTCGGCCAAATGTGACCAAATGTGGATTTTGGATTGCTACGTGAGACATTCAGGAATAACTGCTGACTGGGTTGAGGCAATCACGTACGCAAAACTACAAAAATGTACAAAATAGACCGTTGTAAACACTTTTAAAAATACCAGTTCAATTACATTTGTGTTTTGTTCAAAAAATTATCACAATCCTTGTGAAAATGAATAAGTTAACGGGTATCGTGTAGTAGCTTCCATTATATTTTTGCTTTGGAAATCATTGGGGACAAATAACAAACGTGTCAAACGAACAATTTATTTTATTCAAATAAAAATAAAATTTGGTGTGACTGTCCATCAGACTAGCACCAGAAATATATGATATTTGGCATAGAACTGATCACCACTCAATCTTACTCTTTCAGTTCGTGAATATTTTGTGTATGGATCAATCCACCGATTCTCATTGATTACTCGATGATCACGTGAACGCACCTGGTCCTGAATCACAATGATCAATAAGCATTCAAGTTGTGTTTCAGATTCATGTCAATCTATGCTTCCTAGGATCGTCAGTCGATTGATGTGTTCTCGGTTGTCGGCCATCAAGTCATGAGCCCGGTTTTTGCTGTCAAGCTGTCCCATATTGACGGGTTCACTTTATTCGGTTTCGAAGGGGCTCAGAACAATATTTTACCTCGGTATCGGGAACCAATAAGTGTACTGTGCAGCGCTTGGATTCCCAGTGGGGGACTTGGAGATTAATGCAATAAGGTGATCAAAGTTAGTGAATGATAGGGTGTTTAGCGTAGCAAGCTGTCGTACAATTCTTTCTAGTTTTAACAACTTTCCTCTACTCCTTCCGAAGTGACCACCCAAACAGATAGCCGAATGACTGCAATCAAAACCACTGCACAGAAAAGAGCAAGGTATTCGGTTGCTCATTGCTCTTTGCCGCACAAAATATACTCAGATGCGGTCCACCACGGCAGTTAAACAGTCAGAAAAGTGTACTCAGCGTTGAACGATCGCGCTCCATCTGAATTGATTTCCATTGCAACCAAATAAAATCTTTTGGTACGTGTTTGGTAAATGGCTTTAAAAATGGCGAAATACAGACGTAATCGGAAGATGGGTTGCCAAGGTCGAACAAGGGAGATACAATAAGGTTCTCGCTAACACCCGAGGGTTTTCCACCATAATATCAGTAACGATAGCCATACGGTTTAGGTTACATCAGTACGGAACCCGCCAACGCCACATAACTTTCACAATTCTTGTATGTCGCTTGGCAGACCTCTAAATGGTTTCAATCTTATCCCTAAAATGTGAATGTGTTAATATCTGTTCGTTAAAAATGCTCATCAGTATGCTCAGTAGTATGGCTTACTTCAAAATAGTTGAGTGATCGAGCATTATTAAGTATGTATGTATATATCTCTTGCTCCTGTTCGACGGTATATTCCGTCACCAGTGAATGTTAGGCGATTGACGATCCGCGTGTCGTTCTGTACACGACATGCGTCCGCAACCGATCCGGATAGCAAAACCCTTTTCGGAAGTGGTGCCAACACGCGGTGGGGACAGTACCGCCCTGTTCTGGCTGCTTCTTAGGCTACGCGACATCACAAATTGCCGTGGTAGATTAAAATTTCACAAATTGTTCACATACAGGTGTGCCTTACCCGAGGTTAGAAAAGTATTTTATATCTTTTGTGCGCTTCTGAATGTAGCGGATTAATTATTTTAGGCGAAAAAACCTCAATACCTAATAATAATCCTGCATGGAGAAGAGTTGGATGTCAATGGGTTCTGTCGATCACCGTGGCTCGAACCAAGAGCGGAGTTTAAACGATTTCATAACCAATCAGATTTTTGTCACGTAACCAGTTCCCTTTACCATTTTCATGAGAGCAAGAAGAAGCATCGTGATGACAGAATATGTTGAATTCAGTAGTTGAATCTCATGAAAATCAGATTTTTTCCGAGGAAAACGTTGTTCGCGCCCAAATGTTTCGGGTGTCAGCACACTTGCTGGATAGGACTACCGGGCGGGTTTTCACACACACTGGAGCAATGCGCGTCTTTTTTCCGTGACCAAGTTTCTTGAACGAAGAGGGACCGGCTGTTGTAATTGTTGTTGTTGTTTTTGTGGTGTCGGATAGTGCGAATATCTATCTTCCTGGTCCGGGAACTGGGAGCTTGTGCCTGGCAGATTTTCAAAAGCCCATAATTGGTGAATGATCAACTATGTTCCGTGGATCATAATCGTTGGGTGTGCATAAATTTATCCAATTTTTTTGACGGTCCAAAAGAAAGATTGGAACCATCCCTTCCATTTGACCATTTGACAAGCAACACAATATGAGCAGAGTTGATATTGGCCATCAATTTCGCGTGCTCTCAATCAGCTGTCTACACACATTAAATAGGTCGAATGGTATACGAAGAATACCATATATAGACATTTACATAATTAAATGGATTCACGGGGAAAGAACTGGGTTGTTGATTCATTACTGAAGTCATTTTGGAATGAGTGAACGAGGAGGATGGAACAATAATAAGACAGATTCAGAAAAAATGAATGTTAGCTTGGCAATAGTTACGTAATGGAAAATGACTGAATTNGGGGGAATTGCCATGGTAATAACAACTGCATCACGAAAACCTTTGGCAGGCATAGATCGAGCTTTAATGATGGCTAATGACAACCGCTTCGGCAAGCCTAACCATGCTTGAGCTTCAAACTTTGAGCACAACGGGGAAAGTTTTGTGTTTGTCACTGCAGTGTCCGGTATCCAGCAAATTTAGTGCCACCGCAGGAAGTGATGCGGTGTTCGGAGCAGGCTCAGGCATGGTGTCAACAGCCGGCTGTACTGAACCCATCCTGCGAGATAACGCATACCACGAAGCGACAGGTTACAGCTTTAAGACAACTGTGATCAATAAAACTTCCGGAATGACGTCAGCAAAGCGTGTGCGTGCTACAGCGTCTGGACTTCATTCCATAAATCGATTGTACCAGCCAATCAGAAACCGTGCGGCCCAGACAGAAGCTGAACAACGCCAGAAAGACTAGTACGCGATTGGCACACTCCGGATAACCAATGAGTCTGCTTTGTACATATTATTTAATCCCCCTTATTTCTTTTATTAAACGAACTACTACATCCGTGGCATTCTCCTCATGTCTCGGTTGCATTGGATCTTGTGTGCAAATGCCAATGTGATCCAGTGCTTACGTGACGTCCTTGATTGCGGATCTGTGATTCATATTCCGCGTTAATTGCGCACTACTACTGCTAGTACGACAACTATTACACCGAATTTCAGACCTTCTCACGTACCGCGAACCGCAAGTACGTTGAAAAAGATAAATGCTATGGGAGATGAGTGAATCGTTTGATCTGCCTATGATTTACCGAATTAGTGAGTTCATGAATCATGAATCATGATCAGCTTCGCAGCCGGATAGGTGGGCTCAACTGTAGTACCAAGCCGACGATCAACCCGTGCAAATATATTGTCTCCTCTAAACGGTACACCAATGAAAACTGGTTTATTTTTAACCGTAGTGTACGTTGGCCTAGGAGTGGTACGTGTGCATCCCGTTCAATTTGTTGAATAGAACCATGACATATGTTCTGTTTGAGGTTATCAACAGTGTGTCATCGATATTACGGCGATAAAACACTGAGGATTTGGGATCACTTTCAATGTTGTTCTCAAGTTTTGACATGAATAAATCAGCTAAGATTCCTTAAATTGGGCTTTCCATAGCCACTCCATCTTTCTGACGGTAGATTGTGCCATGGAGGGCAAACTGCAAAGTACAAACACAATT